AATCTTAAAACCTTCCTCTCTGATAAAGCTTCAAGTGACCCTGAATCATCCCTTAGTTACACTGCAATAGGACAAGTCTGCTGCGTTTTTCTTCTTCACTCACCTTTTTGATGATGATGATGATGAAGATAATCTTTTATTTTGGACATATAAAACAAACAACCAATATATACATAGATAGCTGCGTATGTATACACACATACACAGATATATGCTCAAACAAAATAAACCAAATCTCAATGACATGAAATAACTCAATCATGAAGTCCGAAATGGTTTAGTTCTGATGGGTGAGTACTGTGTGTTAAGGACCGAAACATTGTTACCTCCTCTAACAAAGGTGGTGGGATTACTGACTGTTCGGCTGCACTGTCTAGCCACACTGCTAGAAGGTGTTAACCTCTTACAAACTACTACTATTACTAGTGTTTGTAAGAGAAGGAAATCACGGTTTATGAAGAACTAGCCGGAGAGCTGGGATCTTGTAAAATTTATTCTAACATGCCAAGTGAAGGGAATGACGTTTCCCATTCAGGTTTGTAAGAGGTTAACACCTTCTAGCAGTGTGGCTAGACAGTGCAGCCGAACAGTCAGTAATCCGAAAGCAATTATAGATGAGAGGGATTGTGATTTAAATGACTGTACTGATAATGTGTCTGCAGAAAATAGTAGAAAGATGAGTAAAACAGGAGTGTAGCAATCAGTTTTGTTAGTCTGAATCTCTCATCCTGAAGCTCCTGGTCTCCAGTGACATTCTTTTATGTTTTGATTTTTCTGATTCTGTGTTTGACTTCAAAAACAGTTCCCCAGTTGACAGGGAAAATCTTACCCCTATTGTTCCATGAAGATTACTCGTACACCTAAAACTGGAGTTATCAAATCTGACACTGAGTCTGCTATGTTGAAATGAAGCCATTCTTCCCAGTATTTTTGCGAAGTCGTTTCACTTAGTGTGTCTGCATGCTGACGCCCTCAGCATGCCCTGGTGGCAAGGGTTATTTGTCAGGTAGAATGTGTAACACTCTGTGTAATTAATGTTACAGTTATGGATTTAAAGAGAACTAAAGAAGGAACTAAAGACAGAGAGAAACAAGCAATTTAAAAGTACAAGGAAAGTAAAAGTAACATCATAAACAGGAAGCTAATGAGCTTTAACATGCTTTAAAACCAAAAAGAAGTCACAAACCCACAATAGGCAAAATGAATCTAATGATCTTCATAAGTTTGGCTCAGAACTAAAGGTAGAGAAACAAAGTGGCAAAGGGCCTTGTACCAGGGATCAGGAAAACAATCATGCATATGAAGTTTGGATTGACAGACTTTCCAAGTATCCTCATGTTGTATTTAGTGATAAATCATTCTGTGTGAATAAACCTTAACATTAGTTAACAACTTTACATTCCTATTTCATTATATATCTCATTAGGTTAGATGGGGCAGTTAATTCTCCAAACAAAGCTAACAAAGCTGGACTTGCAGCAGTGATATGGCTCGCTGGGAAACAGATCACTTGTCAATAACTCATTTCAAGCACTCCTAAACTGGCAAATGTTTACAATGCTGACATGTGAGAATCACCCTTCAACACTTTCCTTAAAGATGTAAAGCACGGGTGCTTGTGGGGAGAATTTACATATGCATACCTGTACAGTGCAAAACAGGTTTTACTGCATGGGGCCTGAAACAGAAGGAGAACCTAATTCTAAGATGCTTCCAACAACATGAAAAGTACTAACCGAGCTAAAAACTAGTACTTTTTGTTCCTTTTAAAACCTTTAACAACTGTTACTTTCGTGGTAAATGGTAAAAACAGTTTAAATGCACATTGCAGTCAAGTCTTATGGCAGTTGAAATTGGCAGCAATTGCATTGTATAAACTTGTGACTCTTGTTTGACTGGTTTATTTATACCTTGACACTTTCTCTGATCCATAATGACTAAAATGATTTTTTGTGCAACATTTACTTTAATTATACTTTCTGCTGAGTGTTTCTTGCTACACTTGGTGTTGGCTCTCACTGTAGTATTGTAGCTTAATCAATGTAGGTTGTTTTAATTATAAATCTTTAGATAGTGACTTATTTCATAGTGTAATCATCACATTTTATCATCACGTTTTATCCAAAAAAAAATTCTGATTTCCGAAATTGATTTTGGGAAATTTTTTGAAATTTGTGTGTCGTATGCTTAAATATTTTTGAAATCTTCTGAAACTACAAATGTGCAAAAAATCCAACTGGGTACCCAGAAATCTGGTGAATAATATTTCTGGCAGTCTAAGCACAAATACCTTGGTGTGAAGCTGTTCATTAGAACAAATGGTTAATCTGATAAAACTAATCTGACAAAAGGATGCACTACAGGGGTCTTTAAAAAATTACTTATGCTTTGGCTAATTTACTCATATGAACAAATGGATGTTTTTCATTGCACTGTCTCAAGCGCAAGGATGAGGCTTTTCAAAGATGCCTTAAAATGGAGAGCTCAAACCCCAGCCTGCGTAGACCAGCATTGACTAAAAAAGACACAGAGATGAACAGCAGGAAACAACACTGGAGCTGCACCTACCAGACGTCTGAGGGGAGCCTATGGATGAGCTTAAAATTAAGAAAACCCTTCTCTGTGAGAAATTAAAGGAAAATGAGGCTGAATGGGAAACCTTGCTTCAGGTTAATGTCATTTTTGGTCTTAACATCTTTTTTAGCCTGAGTTTAACAAAATAATTTGTAGTCTTTCTACCCAGGAGCTTGCACCCAATGCCAAACATCAGGAACAAACCCTAGAACAAGTTCTCGTGAGGAAAACTGGAAAATCAGAGAGGCAGAAGAGGAGGAAATGAACAAAGAAAGAAAGGACAATAGAAAGCAGAAAGGAAAAGGACGAAAAACGAAGAACAGAAGAAGACAGTGAAGAAAACTTTGAGAGTGAGAGAAAGATGTGATGAGAACATATAAGATCAAAATAACAGCTGAGAAGAAACGAGAAAAGGCGGCAGACGCAAAGCAGCAAGAAAGAAGAAAAGAGATTAGCTCGAGCAGAGGATCTAAACCCCAACCTCTACCCTCTCTCCTCCTTCCAGTCTTACCTGTGCTCTCACTTTCCCTACTACTATTTACCCTTGTTTTGCAAACATGTACAGTGCACCAATTTCGGATGAAATTTATTGAACTATCATGTATTCATTTTAAAATAAACAGCGGTGCTCCAGTTTTAGTCTTTGCCTACATCATTTTTCATCTATAACAAAAGGAGGAGGGGGCTCCAAAAGAAGAAAAGCAGGTTACATAATGTTTCCCCCAGTCCCCCTTTGGCTCTGTCTTTTTGTCTGTGTAGTATCACCTTCGAGATAGTCAAGTTACTAGTTGTGTATATTCTTAAACAATTTGGAAATACAAATTGTTAGTGCAGAGATTTCATTTCTTTTTTCCTCTGGAGTGAGGGCAGAATTCACTTTAATCTTTCAGTTTGTTGGCTTAATACCAATCATTTATACGTTTTGTTTTTGTTTTTCATTGTCCTGCAGATATATTTGAGCTCAGTTTTAAAAACTTTCAGAAGAAAAGTGTAGCACAGAATATTTATACAGATTTCTTTATTCTGAATTATGTTTTAAATGAGTAAAAAGACAATTTGTCAGAAACAAGAAATCCATTTCACACCGTGCCTCCTTACTGGGATCCTGAAAATAATTGTTAGCAACATTATTTCTTGGTCTTGAACAAGAAAACAGTTGCCAAACCAGAAATAATCCACTAAGTAATCTGCAGGCAAAGAATACAGATTCATATAATGCATGATAAGAGTATCAGCGATATGAGAAATAAACATTACAAAAATTCCTTAGCTTATTATCCAGGTAAAACATTTATTTCAAGTCAGTGACTTATTTTAAAGAGTGTGAGGAAATGTCTTAATTGCAACTAAAGTACTGGTACACATAGATTTTATTTGAGTTATTAGATTTTGTATTTTCTAATGAGCTTCTATTCATATTTCATTTTGACTTTTTAATCTGGTTTAGTTTCCATAGTTGATTTTCTTGTTTCACTCTGGTTTTTATGAACGTGTTTACTTTCAGTTTAATTCCTCTTAGTTTCAGTGTTAGTTTTAGTCTTTTATACACATCAGGAGCATGAAATGAAAGCAGTTGGCTCACAGTCAACACAGTAAGCATGTTTATTGAGACTTGTAGAGTGATACCAGATACTAAAACACTTTATTTTATTTTATTTTAGTTAGTTTTCAATTTGTATATTTTTTATTCTAAAGTCTAGTTTTTATTTTTAATGCGATTAACTTATGTTACGTTTTTCCCACATCTAGTCTTAGTTGAGTTTGAATGAACTATAATAACCTTGATTCCATATGTAAAATCAAGCAATGTATGATTCAAAACGACAAAGGAGAACAATTAATAAACATTTACAACAGAAAATGAATTGTGTTTAATTAAGAAGCCCAAAAATCAGTCCGTGAGGGCTAGGTGGCATAACTGGCTCTTTGCTAACATTTTTACTGAAAGGTTATTAAAACAGGGGAGGAGTGAGACAGTCAACGGGCGCTGTTGTTCTAACTGCCTGATGTGGGAAAACTAACAGCTTTTGTTTCGTCGTTGGCTCCTTTATCTTCGCCGGCAACCTTTCATGGTTTAAGTACCATTTCCCATTCACAACCAACATTTAAATATTTGTAGTAAATGGCAGTTCGTCGCATTTCGCCCGCAAACAGATGGAGATTATCATATACATTAACAATAGAGGGCAGTGTTGCTTAAGCAGACATGAAAAGCTCGTGAAATGTCCGGGTGTGGTGACAGTGCGCCGGCGCCTGGGATGCATTTTTATTGTAGACGGTTGCTTTTATTATCAGTAAATCGCTTCACAATAGATCCCCAGTTCATACATGGGCAGGTTCGCCTTCCTGTGTAGGAGGACCTGTGAGCTGTAAAGCACGGGTGCTTGTGGGGAATTAGCATATGGATACCTGCAAAGTGCAAAACAGGTTTCTCTACATGTTCCAGGGCAGACAGAAGCAGGACCCCAGTCCCCAGTGTTTTCACACAGTTAATTGATCAATGAAACTGAGGTTGAACAACAAAGCAGTCCTCTTTGACCGTTTGGTCCTTTATTGCTCCCAGGCTAATTAGTGGTCCATTTGAATGTTGGTTGTAAATTGAACACGTTGAGCATACTGTTGTATATCAAGTTTCCTCTTGGCAGAAGCACAGTGCTGTGACTGTCCTGGCTGAATTTCTGTCTCATGATTTACTCTGGGTTCTCTTCATATCTTTTCAAATGACTCTAAAGTCGTTTCTAAACATAATTTTCCTCTGGGATTAAAATATTCTGATTCTTAAGTATAACAGTGATCGCAAAGGAAAGAGAAGTCATTGTATCACAAAGCAGTGTGGAACATATTCCTGATTCCAGATTTCACCATCTCTAAATAAATATTAGACAGTTGAACATTACATACATGCAAGAGGATAGTTTAAGACATTGAACGCCCTGTTAAAGATAATGTTATTATATGAAATGACATTAGATGGCAGTCTTTCATAAGTAGTGATCCAAAGCTGTTTGAGTCATTAATCCTCTATGAAAAGTGGCTTTATTGTAGTTAGAAATTTTGTGATTTCAGGTCTCAGTACAGAGCATGTCAGGATATCTAAGCATATAAAATAAATGAAAGCATTTCAGTTTTTTCAACTTGAAAAATATGGTAGCAACATCCTTGTTCAATTACATGGATGTGTTCTGTTATTAGAGGAACACCTGGCCATTAAGGGTAAACCATGGTTTTAAACTGCGGGGTTTGAAGCCAGGAGACAGGAAGTGAAGCAGAGTTAAATGAGTACATTTTGTGCAGGTAAAGTAAAGCAACAAGAGCTTACTGGTGCTTCTACATCCAGCAATTTCAGTAAGATTTCACTTTGAGTCTTATTTTTTTGTTAATGTTTGATGGGATGTTAGGCACAAACTTTGTCCCCTACATTTCCAACCATGGACTAGAGTAACACATGCACCTACTAATATTTTGCCCGTTCTTGGGATTGTGGGAACACACGAGCCAGAAGGAAGGATAAAACACCATGACCAGACAAACCTGCTTCTGGAGAGATTACATATGAGTGAGAAATGCACAATAACAAACTTGGTGCATTTGTAAACAAACTTTTATTTTGGAGCCCTTGAGCGCAATTTAAAACAACTGCATGTTAGGAGAATGACACTTTTCAAGTTCACCAAATCGACCATTGGTTGCAGTGGATTCTTTCTCACAGCAAACATAAAAACATAACAAAAAACAAAACCACAGGGACAACTTTGCCAAAAACTCTCATTAAAAAACAATAATATATTTCACACTGCACCAGTTTCTTGGGATCCTATAAACAATCTTTAGTACCTGAATCTTTGCTGAACCAGACTATAAAGATCCACAGCAGTCTACAATGCGTAGCAAATGTTTACAATCTACGATAAGAAAACAGAATACCAAAAAAAAAAAAAAAGTAATTACCACCCTGACTGATTATAGTATCAAAGATACAAGATGTAAACATTACAAAAATACAAAAACTGCTCAGGATGAGCAGATAGGCCTATGTAATTCTGGTAAGGCACTCACGGCAATAACTTATTTTAGAGACAGTGTGAGGAAGTGTCTTAAATACTACTGAACTAGAATTTAGGCAGTGTTATACATGTATGCACAGATTCTGTATGTACAGTAACCACCAGAGGCACTTAATTTAGCAGTATATTATACAAGTGGCAATAAAAAAAAAATAAGAGTGGAGTGGAAGAGGACAACTGCAACTGTCTGTCAGGGGGGAAACAGTTCATGCTACACTGATTTTGGACAGTCCAGCAGGGAGAAACCAAGTCGGTCCTCTTCTGAGGGGTGGATTCTTATGGATGCAAGAGTCCAGAAGAACTGTGGCCTACATGTGCCTCTTCATGTGGAGAGCCAAGTGGTCTGAGCGGGAGAAGGCACGTTCGCAGAGGTGGCACTGGAAGGGTCTGTGTCCGGTGTGCTTTCTGAAGTGGCGGGTCAATTCGTCTGATCTGGCGAACTTCCAGCCGCATCCTTCCCAGTTACAGTGGTAGGGCTTCTCACCTGAAAGATGTAAACAGAAGCATATTAACATATTTTATATGACATGCTCACAAAACAAACAAACAAAAAAAAAAAAGCAGAAGAAAACAAAAAGGATATTAGATTTTAGATTCTCACCTGTGTGTGTTCTCATGTGCGCTTTGAGATGGGAGCTCTTTGTGTAGGTCTTTCCACAGCCGGGGAACTCGCAGTTGTGCGTGGCAGCGCGTTTTCTAGCCCACGATCTGCGGGCTCGTTTCTGCTTCATGCACCCGGTCTCATCCTGCGAGTAAAACTCGAGCAGAACCGGAGAAGGAGAAGAGGGAGGAGTGAGCACCATCCCCTGCATCGACAGTGGACGCTGCTGCTGTTGCTGCTGGTGAACGTGGACCTGCTCTCTCTGCGCGTTGTAGTGTCCCTGAAACGATGGCACACCCTGGTGTGCGTAAATCGAGTGATATGGCGCGTTCATATATTGACCCTGGAGATGGCTTTGATTACTGGGATGGTGAGAGCTCATGTGCGCGTTTAAGTGGTAGTGTGCCGTATGTCCGTGGGATGCAGCGTGCTGCATGGGATGCGCGCCGTGAGCCTGCAACCCACCATGAAATGCAGCCTGGTGGTGCGTAAAGGTTACTGGTTGCATTAGGTTTTTCCCGTGAACGTGTTCCATAAAGTTCTCACCGCTGGCGGCCATCATGCAAGATGGACCCCCAGACTCGGTTTTGATTTTATATCCAAGCGGGATCGGTGCGGTGGCAGCTGGGCGGTGAAGGGGAGCCGATGGAATTGAGGCTGAATTCAAAGCTCGCAGTTCGGTGAATTCGCGGTCATCTCTCTCCTTGCCCGCGCAGTCCGGTGAAGCATCAGCCGGGTAACCTATCTCAGGCCTGAGAAGCTCCACCATAAGACTGTGAGCTGGGCTCGACTTTGCGACGTTTGCAGTTCCGTGGCAGCCCAGGTGAGAGGGAGGATGATCGCTGCACTCTGTCACAGAACCACCGCTGCAGCTTTCCGGCGAATCCGGGAGAGAATACATGCAGTTCTGCTGCTGCTGCGTTGGTGGGATGTTCCCATTGCCGTCGCTGTCGCTTAGAGCATCGCGGCCGATGGTGTTGGACAAAATAAAATCGAGATCCAAAAACTTTCCCAGTTCGTCGTCTTCTTTGGAGGGTAAAGCAGGAGAACGCACCATGTTGAACTCCACTTCCCACGGCGGGTTATTTGCATCACCTGTTGCACTGTTCTGCACACCCTCATCCACCTTTTAAATATGTAAAGGAGCGCAAAATAAAAAAAAGTTAGAAGAAAGCCAAGCTGCATAGTCGGTCAACAGTGAGAAATAGATCTACAAACATATTATGATAACACACTAGAGTTACCACAATGTGCCATACTTAAATGTTCTCTACTTACATTATCCAGTCCTTTGAGACTCGGAAACGAGATTAAGGCAGGCATCACTGCTTCAGCCACAGCCATGTTGACCGTTTTTAAAAAGAGTTTAAAACGCCAAAGTCCTGCAGATGCTGTCCTCCGCGTCCGTGTGCTCTCTGAGTGAAACCAGGATTCAGGATATGAGTAACAGCCCGACTGATGGACTTTTTATAGTGGTCTACGGTCGAGCATACGGAAGTGTGGGTTAACCCCTCCTCTTGCGCGCATACACGTACACACCTCCCCCATCACCTGCACATTCACACAGCAAATAGTGCAAACAGGTTAAACCAAGCACGGGTTCGTGTCAGGTAACCGCTGCTATAAATGTAAAACAGAAAGAGGAAAACAAATAAGATGAATGAAAACTTAAATAAATTCCAAAACCGAAAATAATTATTTTGATTGAATTGACTGGATTTTATAATTTTTGATTTAATGTGGTGAATATGTTGGTTTGTTTTCACTCATCACAAATATGCTGGTAAATAATGACGAGGCTTAACAACCATAAAACTAACCTTTCTCACTGTGCTTGTAGATTATTTATTTATTTATTTATTTATTTATTCTTCAGCTTTCTGCGATGACTTTCATACCTGAACATAACATAAACGCGTGGAAAAGCATCGAGTTCACCTCTACAGCAGTAAATCTAGTGTATCTCCCAGGGAAGCCGAACATTTCCCGTGAGGAAGCTACAGAGGGCAGCTTAGGAATGGAATTTTAACTCTGTGTATCAAATATTCCAAGATATATTTGGCATATATGCTTTGCTGAGGTGCCCTTCAGTACAATGAAGTGATTAAAGTAATGTGTTTGTGTGTTTTATAACTGATATTGTTGAAATCGAGAACAAAACATTGAATGCCTTTAAACTCAGCAAATCTGGCATCTTACCAGTTTCTTTCCAATCTCTGACATACTTATTTGTCCTACATTGATCTCTGCGTGTGAAGCTGCTCATTCCCGAGGCCAGTCCGAACAACCGGTTAATCTGATGGTAAACAAAGGGCTACATGTTTCGAAACGGTCTTCCCCCGCAAAAGGGCACGATGCGGCACCCTGCAGTCATTCTTATGATAATGCACAGGTTGACTGGGTTTCGTGGTGGGAAAAGCAAAAAACAAAAATCCATGAATAATGACCCCCCTCCAACCACCATTTGTCTCTGTCTTTTTGCATGTCTGTTGTCACCCCATTAGAGTAATATTCCATGGCAAACTAGTTGCATACTTTCTAAAATAATGTTGAGATACAGATTACAAACGATATACACACGTTATATTCCTTTCCCTCTGGAGTGGGAGGATGAATTCACCTTTCAAACTTTTAGTTTGCTCTGCAGATATATAGAAAAGGAGTTCTTGTCTACTGAAAAATGTTTTTAAAAAAATGTTTTTACATTTTTGTATTCAGTTTTGTTGTCACTGAGCAGAGAACTGATACAAAGCCAATGAAATTTACTCAGTATTTAAAGAAGAAACGCACAGAAAGAAGAAGGTACAGCAGTATGTTCAGTGGCTGCATGCATCCGTTACAGTATGTCAGTATGTGTGGAGACACTTATAAATACAGACTGTATGCATAGACTACATTACATGATTTGATGTTAAGATAACAGTAGTCTAATATTCTTACAGATAACTGATATTGCAGCACAACATTTCACTTGCCCGTATCTCAGATATTGGGTTTAGTTTCTGTAAATTCGTAAATTGCAGCTAAGCCACACAAAGCAGTGTTACTTTTGTTCCACCTCTCTCCGCTCCTGCAGGTGTTGTCACAGGCGGCGTCCTGCAGCACTCTGCTTTTATACTCTGTTATTTTTGACCTGCTGAGCTTACGCAAAACAAATTCCGGTTCTGTCTGTGAGCCAAGTGGAAATGGACTCTGTTTCCTGAGGAAAAACTTCACACTTGCTTCCCTTGCTTTCACTCTCAATCACCTTCAGATGCTTGAAAGCATACAGACGTGTTGAGGTGCTCTGGGCCTGTTGCATTTTAAACCACTTATTATGTTCCTATGCTGGAAAAGAAAAGTATGTCTGCTTTACTTTGTGTTTTGTGGGATTATGATAGATGTTTAGAGGTTTATAGCTGATTAATATAACTGAATTTGTCCATAACACTAACACACTGAATTCTGCTGAATTTTGCTTAAGAAAAACAATAAAAAACAAACCCACACGATGTGCAAAAATCAGCGATTTACCTTGGGTCGTCAAAGACCTTGTTACAGTCACGTCATGAAAAATACAAGTAACAGAGACCAGAGAGACAGAACTGCCCTGGGCTCAGGTTTCTCTTTTGTTACGGTTTTTAACAGGGAGGAAGTCTTTCAGTTTGAGTGCTTTCTAAACACAATTACTTAAGATTACAGTTGAGCAGACAGACAGATCTTACCCTGAATGCACAAACATGTTAACTCGGAAAACACAAAAAGCTGTTTCACTGTCAGCTCTTTGCGTTTCTAATTAAGCTCAAAGCTGTCCTTTTTTCCCTTTGTTTGTGTCTGGTTTGTCATGTTACTTGATTTAAAAACATTGCTAAAAGATGGATATCTCATTTTGTTTGTTGTCATTTAGAAAAGTGTTTTATTTTGTTGTGGTGTGGTGCTGTGGGTGTGCGTCCTTTAAATACACATAACAGACTATTTTAATTTAGTTTTGTTCATTTAGTGCCAATTCACATCAACAGTCGCCTCAAGGTGCTTAATATTGTAAGATAGAGCTCAAAATAGAAAATTAGAGGGAAAACCTCAACATCATATAAATCGCTGTGAGAAAGCACATGGTCAAAGTGGGAAGGAAAAACTCGCTTTTATCAGGATGAAATTCCAGCAGAACCATGACGGGGGGGTTGGGGGATGACACATTATGGAAGACAGCCAGAGTTGGATAATTAGTAATGATTAATGCAATAGTGGTGTATAAAAGCATGTGAATGATAATGGGTTAAGTGCTCAGTGCATCATAAAGCCACCCAGCAGCCTAAACCTATTGCAGCTAGTTCAGACTCACTTGTTCCAGTCCTGACTATAAGCTTGATCTTTTAAAATTAGTTAGCAAGCAAGGAACAGCATTAAAACAGACAAACATAGCAACTGTTGGCTCTCAGTTTGGGTAAAATGTAGATCGAGTTGATAACAAATTATCGCTAACTGCTAACAAGCAAAAATTGTTAAGATAGTCCAGTAAAGAAACCACAGTTCTCGCTAGGAGTAGTTTCACTAAATTGACAGTGGAAGTAACTCACTGAAAGTAGCTCCATGGTTAATGAAGTGATTGGCTCCATTGTTAACGATCTGCAATAACTAAAGGAACTGTGTTTGAGCTAAATTGTCACAGTTAGTTAAAATGTCAGTCGATACAGTTGGCTTGAATAAACTGATGCATCTATGGTTGCAATAACTCTGAACAGCTGTTTAATGCCACAAGTAAAGGATTTAACAACAAGAACAACAAGAACAACAACAACAACAACAAGTTAATAGCTGCAAAGGATAAAGTTTCAACAGTAAGTAAAAGACCAATGTAGATATGTTTTAAAAAAGAACAATTATTGTTAATTTTGTGTGACATAAAATCCGAGAATTCAGAGAATGACATGTGCCAAAAGAATACTGAAGTTCATCTTTGATCGACAGCCTATGGGGGATATGTTAGACATAGATTTTCAAGATCATATCAAAACCTGATCCTCTGAAAACATTTCTTCTATGCTATTGAGTGCAGTCAGGCTTGAGACAAAATATGTTTCACAATCACTGTCATTTTCTCATTTAGAGGCGCACACATGACCATAAATACACATTGTTTTTCTGTTCCTGTCCAAACAGTAGCTGTGTTCAGAGCAGCCAGGAACAATTTACTTATGTAGTCTTTGGGGACACACACACACACACACACACACACACACACACACACACACCCACACACACACACACGACAGAGAGAGAGGAGAGAGAGAGAGAGAGGAGAGAGAGAGAGAGAGGAACAGAGAGAGAGAGAGAGAGAGAGAGAGAGAGAGAGAGAGAGAGAGAGAGAGAGACAAACACACACACTAACAGCAATTATCCTCCATCACCCACAAACTGAGGGGAAACCCAGCTGTTATCTTGGATAAATACGCTGCCATGCATGGCATGAATAAGCAAAGTGGTTAGAGAGAAAAAAGAAAGCATAACGATAGCACAGAGACTGGCTAGTTATATTCTAGAAAGATATCTAAAGGAGTCGGGGAGGAGAGGAAATAAGAACAAACGCAAACCAACAAGGAGAATCATGGGAAAGAGGTATGGCAACAACATTGCCCCGAGACCCTCTAATCTTTAATTCTGCTCTTCCTGAGGCCAGACACTGACGCCTGTTGGCTTAAACAGTCTGATTACGAGGGTAGAAGGCTCTTTACCTCTGACCTGGCTAGACTGGGACTTTTTAAAGTACCGTAGCACCGAATCCTTTCAAATCCAGAAACACAGCAACTCTAAGATGACACAAACCTAAACTGAAAGAGTTTTTATATTTTGTTACAAATCTGGAAATGCCTGAATTGCATGTTCGGCCCAGCATCACCCCACTTGCTATTTAAGGCACTCCTTATGTGAAACAAAAGATTACATCCCTGCTGTATTAGAGTATTTAGCTACCAGCAGTGCTAAAAGGTTTACTCACACTCATTTTAGCTAAATGGTTTAGTAGCATTCAGGACTAATGAAGTCATTTGCATCAAGGTGACAGCCTAATGAGATAAGGGTGCTCCACATTTGACTGCTCTTGAGTAGATTGTTGGCTGATTACATATCTTTTGTGTGTATTCAGGATCAGATGTAATGAGGAACTTGAGTAGTAATGATGATCCGCTGATCCGTGATATCACAGTTGACGTTTTTTTCATTAATCATGGTTTAATTATCATTCCTCTGATATTGTGGAGAAAACGGATCCAGCTCAGTAGTAACTGAAAGCTTCTGATTTCTGTGGAACTTTTGTGGTGTTTAAAAATCGTGGACACAATAAAAGGAAAAAAGTTAAAATTCTGAGAGAGAAAGTTTTATCTACTTTCTGAAAAATGTGAAAAATATTCATACGATTTATGAAAGAAACTAATCGTATGGAGAGATTTCACAGTGAGTCTGATTAAAGAGGATAGGTTTTGATTGAGTAACTAA